ACCTGCAGTCTATCTGGGTCAGATATAAACCAAGTTTAGGTGGAGTTTATTTTTGTTGTGCTGACTTTTTACAGTCAGTTACAATAACTCGTACTGTGTACTAGCTAACATGATGGAGTTTCTATACAGCCAGGCGGGTGCTATCATGTTACTGATAGTGAACTTTATTTTATTCATAAGGTTGGTTCGTAGAGTGTCCAACCGTCCCGTAAAAAAACGGAATCGTCTCGTATTTAGAGAAAATATTATGCGTTTCGTACTGAGGTGAAAAAGAACACAGTTTTTCCCGGACTTCAGCTAGAATGGAAAAAGACACAAAGCTGGAGTTATTCTACGTCTTTACACTGCAGCTGCCTCTGCTTCTCACGTTATCTCCCCCTGCCTCTCTGTTGCTACTCCAATCATGAAAATGATCAATGATCAGTTGATCGATATTTCTGACGAAAGTCCCGTCTCTCTTGTTTGTTTATTGCCCACTTTGCGCCAGAAAGAGGAAATCAGGGGTGTGACGGAGTGACCCGTCTCAAGGCAGAGTCCGCTGAGTATGGCACCGCCACCATTAGACCGCCACCATTAGTTCGACTTGGCACCAGGGGCGGCGTATCTTTCGGTCAACTGAGTAGAGGAATAAAAGGGGTGAGGAGCAAGTTGTGAGCCGCATCGGGGGTGGCTAGATTTTGGTTCCCACTTACTTGTTAAGGGCGTCGGTCGGGGAGACGTGCGGGGGATCGCCAATTGTGCAGGGTGACGCAAGCCGATGGTATGGGGGTGTGGGGTTTAAATAATGAGTTCACGTGTGTCTGGACCGTCATGAGAATGGCCTCATTACGTGGGCCGTTAATGTGTATATGAAGTCGGGTAGACCTCCGGGAAATAGTTGAGAGCCTGTATCAATGGATATGTTTTGTGAGTGTATAATGAGAAAGAAATTCTGGGGGAGGGAGACGGGGATTAAAGTTAGAATGATGAATTGGTGGTGACGCCAAGGGGGAGGGGTTACGGGATATAAGAGACGGCGAGCCGGATATGAAGGGGAGTGTGTTGTAACATACCGGCTGTGTAGCGCGGATCTCAGTTGTATGTCTTTGTAACCATCTTTTTATGCACTGGGAAGGCCGTTTCAAATAAAGTATTCACACTAATACCTTACCGACTACGCCTGTGTTTGTCCGGGAGAGGTCTGGAAGGGGACCCCGTGACAAGGGGATAAACAACGGCAACACATTTAAGCTTGATAAGCTGTTGTTAGAATTTATTTCATATTAATTTATGGTATCAGCTGATGTTTGCTGAAGCCACAGCTGTAAAGCTGCTGGTCATGGTATCAGTTTGGTTATCTGGTGAGAGGGAAACATGAAGATGAAACCAGGAGATGTCCTTACTGAATCATCAGAGCTGAACAGGTGATGGAGAAACAGGTTTACCTTTTAGGTGACATGAATGAGTTGAAG